TTTTTTGTAAAGGGTGACGTCCTTGGTAATTCAGAATTTCATCCAGTTGCTCCTGCCTCTGCATTTGAGCTGAAGTCTGCAATTCAATTTTCAGCAGTTCATGGGTGCACTGACCGAGCCACGTGGCACGTCGGGTGGGGGTCTGTTTTTCTCCAGATGACTGGACACGAGGAGAAAGGAGGGGGATGAGGAGGAGGGAGGATGATGATGATGAGGACGACAACAATAACAGAAAAACCGCGTGCTGTTGTGGCGTGTGGCACATGATGGGAGGCGAAAGGAGGAAGGAGGAGAGGAGTAGGAAGGAAGGAGAGCGAGGGGAGAGGAGGGAGGAGTAGGAAGGAAGGAGAGCGAGGGGAGAGGAGGAAGGAGGAGGAAGGAAGGAGGGCGAGGGAGGAGGAGGAAGAAGGAGAACAGGGTTGATTGACGACGAGGAGAAGAACGTGAAAAGAAAAACGTGACGCTGTGCCACGTGGCACGACGGGAGGAGGAAGGCACAGGCGGGATGAGGTAGGAAGAGGGAGGAGAGAGGAGAGAAGTGGAGACAAGAGGAAGGTGGAGCAGGATGGAGGAGGAGGAGAGAGGGAGGAAGGAGGATGAGTAGGAGGGAGGATGAGGATTAGGAGAAGAACAATAACACGAAACGAGTGCCGGTGTGCCACGTAGCACATGAGGGTAGGAGGAGGGAGGAGGAGGGAGGAGGAGGGAGGAGGAGGGAGGAGGAAGAAGATGAGGAGGGAGGAGAGACGAGGAGGGAGGAAGAGGAGAGGTGGATGACGAGGACGAGGAAAAAAAAAACAGCGTGCTACGACAGGAGGGAGGGGGAGGAGGAGGAGGGAGAGGACGGCAAGAATCGCAAGGTGAAAGACAAAATTAGCACAGCGGTTCCCATGGAAGGGGGAGGATGAGGAGGCTGCAGGGCGGGAGATGGAGGGAGCGTAGAGGGGAGTCGGAACGTGGGATCCTCGTGAAGAGGGAGAGCCGTGTAGTGTGCAACACGCGCGCGCTCTGGATGGGGGGGGAAGGGCAGAGGGGGGGGAGAGAGAGAGAGAGAGAGAGAGAGAGAGAGAGAGAGAGAGAGAGAGAGAGAGAGAGAGAGAGAGAGAGAGAGAGAGA